CCCCAAAACCCCAAAACCCCAAAACCCCAAAACCCCACATTTTCAAGACTAAATTTTATAATATTAAAATGGAGGTTTCTAATCAGCCGAATAATTATAGTCCCGAGGAAGATCCAGTAAGCTTTCCCTAAATTTGCTGGATCATTCCTTCTTTATAGGAAAATATGCCAGGTGTTCACTATTCAGGTTTTAGTGACTCTAGAGGAGATTATTCGTCTCTATCTAGTAAATCATACGAAGGAAATAAATTTGACAAGTGAGTAAAGGAATGACAAGAGTGGTTGGAGGGAGAGAGTGGATGAGTTGAGGAGAGAAAGAAGGAAAGATCTGAGATAGAGGAGCAGAAGATTAGATCTATTGAAAATTCTGAAGAGGGATCTGGTAAGAATAGTGTTGATATAGGATTAATTTCTAGTTTTTATTTTATAATAAAGATCGCCTAGTCCGAATTTAGGATACCATTATTTAATGTATGAATTATGCATAAAAATATTCGTCTTATCTAATAAAATCGGTACATCCCTCAAACCCCAAAACCAAACATGTTACTCCTCTTCTCCAATCCCCTACCCTCCTTCCTCCCACTACTACCCCTTCTCACAGACCCACCCTGAGTCGTCCAAGTGAAGCCTAAAGGAAGCATGGAAAGGAACAAACGAGAGTGGGTGGCACCAAGAGTGGGAGAGTAGGCAAGGATTACCATTTCAAAGGGATTAGTAAAGAAATAGGAGAGCGGATATCTTCATAAATTATCTTACCAATCCCATGAATTTCATTGGTTTCAGCTAAATTGAACTGGAGAGATTCATATCATCAAACCTAATATTTTTAATCATTTTAGAAGGCCATAAAAACGAAATGAACTCATCGCAAAGCAATAACTCATGTATGAATTCTCAAAATAGAGGATCAAAGACATATCTGGCTTTACAGAAATATGATCCAAGAAAGAATAGAAGAGACTCCTCTCAATTGATTAATTTCAGAAAAATTAATTAACCCTCCAGCAACAACCTATCAAAACAATATCTCAGCAATTTATCTAGAGAAATATCCAGCCTTGAAAACTAAAAAAATTGTAATCTTAATTTAACAATAGGCTCTTTCCAACCCTCTTAGATGAATTTAATTTAACAGATCAACAAAACAACATTAATTTCAGCGTCCACAACCCTCAAGAGATAAAATCTGAATCTGTACCAGTTAGTAGAAGCTTAAGTTTTGTCTCTTCGAGATCAGAGACTGTACAAACGTTGTCAACCTTGGATATCCCTTGGTCAGTTCCGGTAGCACAATCACAGTTCAACTCCTCTCCCCCGTCCCTATCCACAGAAGGTAAGTCAGCCCTCTCACTCTACAGAATTTGATGCAGTCACTTTTGATGAAGAAGATGTGAGCCAGGAGGAAGAAGCTGGCAAGGATTTGCACGTAGAGGATGGGAAGTTGACAGAGGAATTTTGGTATGAGGATGATGAAGAGGAGATTTTGAGTGGGGAGAATGAGGGGGAGGAAGGTAAGAGAGGGGTTGTGGGGAATAGGGAGATTGGGGGGGTTGGGGGTTTAGGAATATTTTTGGGAATTTTTGGGGGAATTTTAGGGAAAATTGTTCTTTCTGAGATAGATGATTTTGATGTTTATAGATGGTTTTGAACTTAGTATTGAAGAACAACAAGCAATGAAAGAGGTTTGAGAAGGGGAAAATAACAGGATTGATAGATGTTTATGGCAGATGGAAGGAGAGAAAAAGGAAACTGTATTAAATGACTTGGATGGATGCAGAATAATTGTTTCTCAACAATATCTTTTAACTCAACATCTGAATAATCTTGAAATAACCAAATATAAATACTTAAAATTTGGCGAAGTTAAAGCTTGACTAGTAGAAGGTACCAAATACTACACTTGTCTGGATACTCCTACAAATACTTAGACACAAACACTTTAAGAAAGGTAACGTCTTTGAGATCCGCTATTAAATGAGTTTAAATTGCTTCCAAGTTAGCTATGAATACTCTAGAGGTTGGAGTTAAATCCTTTTCTATTGCTTTCTCTATTAAATAAATTTTAAAATTCTCAAATAATAGCTCTTCTTTGTTATCCCAAGCTTAAGCATAACTGAAATTAGCTTAAACTCTCAAAGAGTAAGAAATCCACTAAAAGTTTGAAAGATCCTGAAGAATCCTGCCAAAGGACGAATCTAAAATCTAACTCTGTATATAGGAAATGAGAAGCCAATTTCGCAAGGGAAATATTATTATGCCGGCTCTGCTTGACATCCTATACTCCTTACATATATTTAAGAGAAGTAAAAGTGCTTTCGTCAAGAGTGAGAGTAATGTAAATGAATTCTACTTCCCTGCAGAAGCATTCAACTTTTCTCAAACAAACAGAAAATCCTCTGTGTAAAAAATAATGTGGGTAAACTATAGTATCCTGATCCAACGTCTGAAGAGAGAAATAAATGCCTTTATGGCTTTTTTAGAGCAATTAGACAATATTTAGCCATCTACAAGGAATCCATACCAAAAGATATGCAGTATTTTGAAATAATCTAAACTTGTGGAGAATGGTACCTTACAAAGTTAATTTTATAGATTAAGAGTGCAAAGCCTGTCATTCAAAATATTTCACAAGCGTTTGAGGGTAAGACTGCCAGCGATTATAATTTTATGACTCCTTAATTGCAAATCTTCTTCACAGAAAATAGAAATAACTTTTCTATAATGTTTTATTGCATATTTTTCTCTTAAGTAAAAGACAGAGAGGACCTTTGTTCGGAATTCTTAATAGAGTATGTTTACATTAATAAATACTTCAAAACTAATATTAAGGATCCTAACAACATGCTCCAAATCAAGGTGTTTTACTTTTCATGTGTTTCAATTAAAGCGACTTCAAATCTTGACGAATTTTCGTCAAGATTTCGAAAATTTCAACAGATTATCTAAACTTAGCCTATAATCTCCGTTGGCAATACCATCATCTTGGTATATAATCATACTGCTTGGATTTAATTGTTAATTCTCTGAAGTCCTTCTTTCATCTTTCATAACCCTTTTTCCTTTACCTTTATCGACAAGATACCTCTACCATTATTAATAAATTCTTTTGTGATGAAGGAGGATAACATCATTATTTCTAAACAAAATCTGTATGCACATCGGTAATTAGATGCTTATCTTGTTCTCTGCTATTATGACTCGTTTTTTCATGTTTCCCTTAAAATTCTCTGGGCTAAATTGGCATTTATAGACAGCTTTTAGTAAATCTCTAGTATTTTGAATAAAGTAACCAGTTTTGAACGAGAATTAGAGATAAAGAGCTTGTTTATTTGATTGAAATTTAATAATAACCTCAGAGCTTCAGTCAAACATATCTTTAGAATGGTTTGTTACCAAACAATAACTCTGTTTGTGTATCCATTTATTTAGCATTAAACATGACCACCCTCCAGAAGATCTGTGTAGCTGACTAGCTCTAGAGGTTGGATCTTTGTGGCATCACATCTTAACAACATTCTAGTGAACTGACTGATCTCTATAGATTCCAAAGAGTCCTCAAGTGAGGTCTTTATACAACAACTGTGGAGGCTCCTCCAAAGAATTTTGAATAAATTTCCTTCTTTTCAAGGGGATTTAGAAGAGAGTCTACTCCATGACATTAGAATCAGCGTTCCAGACTACCCAAGCCAAGGGGAAAGAAGATTGATTCTATTGATAAGCATGTTTGATCCAAAGAGTTTATTATGGAAATCAGAAGAGATCTTAAGAACGTAAGCTAGCTCAACTACGATTTATAGGTTGCTTAAAAGGTTTTAAGAGTTGTCTGACTTTCTTTGATACCAAAGGGAGTCTTATTAAAAGAATTGAGCAAAGACACATTGAAGTGAGTGACCAAATGCACCAAGTTAATCACAGTAATGAAGCCGATCATGAGATCTTAATAGTTGCCAAATTAAGAAGTACAACCTTGAAAACCTTTAAAGGAACTTTCAAAGATTCAAAATCTGAACTTTGTAAGGACAAACAGTAAAAATCTTAGTAATCATACCCATAATGATTTCAATAAGTATTATCCAAAACGGGGTTTTGGGGTTTTGGGGTTTTGGGGTTTTGGGG